TTGTACCATAGGTAATTACACTGATCACAAAATAAGCAATGGGTATTTTTTCATGTGTCGTGCTTTACTTACTATTTTTGGCATTATTATGATTGTCGTGACTAGCGTATAATTAAACTGATTACCGATTACAAATCAATTTTTGAAAAGGTTGTGTTAATTGGTAACGCTTTAAGCTATTAATTGTACTGTAATTACATTGGTAGCAGTTGAAGTTATTCAAAGTGGGATGTGTCAACGAATTACGTAGTTATATTATATGACCTATTATTTGTTGTGTAATTGCACTGTTCACAGACTTTGGGAATGGGGACTAGGGTTGCAAAATAATTGACCTGGTCACGATGCACTCAAATGAATTTCTTTTTCTGTCTTCCATCTCATTCTCTAAAAATCTAAAATGGCCGAATGGCGTCCATAAGAAATAAGAAAGTAGTAGCCTGTAGCTTCTACATCTAGCGTGTTATGGAAATTCTGATAACAGCTTCAAACTCTCTGAAAAAAGTGCCCATACAAGGTACTAACGGGAACCGTCCATTTTCAACCGTTTAAGCTAGAGAAATTGAAAATAACATTTGACATTCTAGTTTTTTGGTTATATATTAGTTGTTTGTCAAAAATTTCAAATGCGTTTTTTTAGTTACAAAAAGGGGAAACTTTGCCCCCAGATAATCTGCACTGTATCTCTCACTCTTATAGAGATTCCAATGGTGAGCCACGCATGAGTACATAGTAACTAAACCATAAGCGACCAAATATTGACAATACAAGCTGAAAGTACGTTGAAAACTAGTAATAAAATCACTGGTCTGCCAGTCGTAAGTGGCAGCATTAACTTGAGGCGGCGCTGAATAAGTGACTTCTCTAGGTGATCAACTAAATTACTAAATTATAAGGGTCACGGAAAAGATTTGTATCAAGAAATCACATTTTTTTCATACTCTTCAAATATGCTATGGCAGACTATTTCAAGTGCAGCGTTGGTGGCGCTAGACGCCCTTCGATGTAGGGAAAAACCCCTGAACTAAACCATGAGGACCGTATAAAAATGATACATAAAAAAATTCCTCTTTTTGTCACTACTTTAAATATATCCTGGCAAACGATATTAAGTGTAACTTTAATAGTGGCAGACATCTTACATCAACCATTTGATTCTAAACTTCTCATTCACATAGTTCCACCCACTTCAATCAGACAGATTGTAGAAGGTCAGACATTTTGCGGTGGCATTCGCCCAAATTGCGATGAACTAAACCATGAGGACCATACACAAGTCATACACCCAGTAAATACGTGGGAACCCAGTAACGCGTTACTCTGCGCGTTACACACATCAACAACCAAATTCACGAAACTCTCCCCAATATTTATGAATTTCTGTGTGTTATTGGAAAACCTCCATCTACATATACCTTGATGGTAGCCTCAATTTTACTTACATTTCCTAAAGCAATATGAGCAATATCCATATCGGAAGCGCTAATAATGACTTCTCTACTTGTTGGTAGTTTACCAAGATGGTAAATTATTCGAGAATCTGCCTCTTAGTGACTGCAGAACAATTCAGTTTTTACCACATCATCTTCCCTTGTCACAAATTTATAGCACTTATCTTCATATGTGGGAAACACAACTTTCCTTCCAAGTAAAGCACAATAGGTCTTTTTTGCCCATGATTGGTATAAGTAATCTATAAGAGAGGCTTTGAAACTATCATTGCGAAGTGCTTTTATGTAATTTGCAGGATGCTTCTGACTGACGATCATGTTTTGCGTCCTTCATGGAAGGGGTAACTTTCTGTCAAAAATCAGATGAACTTCTCTCGCTGACACAGCACAAATCTTGCCGAGGATGTGTTCAGAAAATCGCTCAAAGTTTTACCAGGGGTCTTTTAAGAGATACAGAAAAAATAACCCATCGATTAAAACAACATCTACAACTGGCGATGGACTAGGAGAATCATACTTCCGAAAAAGTTTAAGCAAAACAAACTTGTCGATTTTAATCATCGATCCATCAATGTTGCATTGAGACAACGGCACTGGAGTCAGAGGATAGTTAAGAATGAACTGAAGGTCTATCTTCTTTTCTCTTCAGGTTTTCTTGTGAAAAGAATTCAAGAAATACCGACAATCTTATCGCGAAATAAACAATGTATTATTTTCCATAATTTAATTCGTTTGCCAACTCGGAACGGTGCGTAAATCTATCGCTATCTCTGTTCGTTATGCCCTCGCGCGCTGATCTCTCACACGTTCGCTCTCGCTGGGATTTACTATACCTAAATTTTTTAACTTCTAAGACGTCTGCCACTATTAAAGCTACACTTAATATCGTCTGCCAGGATATATTTTAAAGCAGTGACAAAAAGAGGAAATTTTTATGTATAATTTTTATACGGTCCTCATGGTTTAGTTCAGGGGTGTTTTTCCCTACATTGAAGGGCGTCTAGCGCCTTCAACGCTTCACTTGAAGTCGTCTGCCATAGCATATTTTAAAACCATAGAAAAAATGTGTTTTCTTGATAAAAATCTTTTCCGTGGCCCTTATAGTTTGGTAATTTTGTTGATCACCTAAAGAAGTCACTTATTCAGCGCCGCCCCATGTTAATGCTGCCACTTACGACTGGCAGACGAGTGATTTTATTACTAGTGTTCAACGTACTTTCAGCCTGTATTGTCGAATATTTTGTCGCTTATGGTTTAGTTACTATGTACGCTGCCTCCCAGTCTAATTAAGAATTAAGTCACTAAATATTACATTACCGCACAAACTGGAGTGGTTTCTACTAGCGCTGAAATGAAAAGGGATGACATACAACGATGCAACCCACTAGCTATTAAATGAATGGTACTGGAGTTGAAATTCAAATAGCAGTAACACTGTTGTAAAGACGCCAGACCACAAAACCAAATAAATTCACTTATTGAAGGAATTGCTGAGTGACGGCGCGAGTGACAGTGAAGTGTGGGAGCTTGAACATGTCAAATATATTTTCTGTGTTATCGTTTTCTCATTAATTAATCATTTTATAATATTAACTTCATTTATCCCTTTTGCAGTAAAGAACTTGTTCTCCATTTAACAGTAAATTTGACGATTTTTACACTTATATATTCCATGCTTAAGAGGAAGTGCGAGTCACCTTGCTCTGGGATAAGATGGGTATGTAATCAACAGTTGTATGCGTCACGTATCAATTCTTCGTGCGCAATGCGATCTTTACAGTTTTTATAATAATAAAATAATGTTTATTGAGCATGAGGTAAAACAGTCAATTGTACTTCATGCTTGTTTTTAACACACGTTGGTAATTAATAATAATAATGTAAAGATACCAGGTGTAACGAAGCACCTGGAATTTCTCCATTTAGTATGCCGTTTACAAAGACCACCCTGTATGTAACGATTGGTTAGGGCTTCGTTACGCAAAAAGACCGCGATATTTTTGTAACCACCGAAGGATGTTGTCCTGGCGAAGATGAGGGACAATTAATATTCTTTGGTTTCAGCGCCGTTAATTATTTATAAGATGTTTTAGATTTCCATAATAAGTAAAATCAAGGATAGAACGAGTTCAAATCGAGTTGTTTACAAGTTTTGCAGTCCCGTCCGTATGCCTGCATGTTGCGATAAGAGTGTTAAAGCGATAGCGCCGTTTGAGAAGAAAAAGTCCAAGGGAGCTAGTTGCAGATTGGATTGATGAGTACTTAGGTTTGATTACGCTTAATTAGGTAAGCGCTGTTAATTAATGCCATGTTAATGGGCAGTAGTAAACCTTGTCAGAAACCGTCGAGAGAGGTGTCCACAGAGGCGCTGTAATTTTTCTAGTTGTTTGCAAGTTGTCCCAGATTTTTAAGATAACCACAGGAGCCGCAATTAATTAAAAACCGAATTATTTTCTACCGCTCTCGGTACGAGCACCGCCCGGCTTTGGAAATTCCCTGTTCCACTTCCACCAAAATTGGTTTCCTTTAAAAGGAAAATGCTCATTTTGGGAGGGATCTTTCTGCTTCATACTTTCGAGTTGTAAGTACGCCTTTTGATTTTTCTAATTTGCGAAACCGTATCATTCCGAATCCACCGAACCCCTTTTTCTTTACCCTTTTACCGTTTGAGCGACCGTAAGTCAATCCGTTATCCTTTCCGTTTTGAGTTTACTTTTTTTTACCTACCGTAACTTTTACCCCGTTCCGCTAAGTTTCATTACCGCCTTAAGCTTACCGTATTTTCTATCGATAGTGTTACCACCGTTTAATTAATATCACCGTTACTTAACCAAGGTAAGCGCTTAATTTTCAATTACGTTGATTAAAGGGGGGGAAGTATATTCTGTTCTCCTTGTTTTTCCGCTTTTCGTTCCCCTAGACACCGCTAATTGATTTGTGCTTTATTGCTTTATTCCCTTTAGGAAATTTACCGTCAGGGCCGTCGGCCATATTTTGTTTTAGATAATCCGGAAGTGACCGCCGCCATTTTGTGGTGAACCCTGACCGATCCCTGGTTATTCCGTTCTCCACTAGAGGATACCCGGAGGCTTTCCACCCCGTCCGCGAAGACCGCACCGCCCCTTTTCCCAAGACTTCGGGGGTGCTGAGTGAAGTCTTGGTGGCGCCCGAGAGACCGACCGACCGTTTACTTTGTGAATTGAATCGTACAATTATATAATTAGTCATCCATTAAAGGAACTTGAAATAATATTGTGCTTTCATCTTTTAAGGTACCGGTTGTGCACGAGCGAAGGGGGAAGTTCGTCGCACAGGCAACAAACCAAATGTTACTTATACCACACGTTTGTAGCGCACCTACCTTAGCTCAGAGCAAGAGGAATCTCCCAACGTCATGTAGACAATAGAACAGCAGAGAGTAGAGAAATAGCCTTCAAACCATACTGATTAATGCAGAGAGAATATTCTAAATTAAGTTAGAAGGCCAACAGTAGAAGTTAAAGCAAGAAGAAAGAAATTCAACAAGATCGTTGAGTATAAATTACTTACCACAATGTAAAGAACAGTTTATTAACACTTCAACTTCTTTGTTATTTTTGTATATGGAAATCAGAGAAACAGTGCCATCTAAATGTCCCACTAACAAATAATTTCTGTTTGTCGAATCTTGTTTTTTACATGTGGGCCAGGATAGGCAAGTCACACACTCGGATTGTTTTTCGATGAACCACTCATCGCAATATTCTTCTTCGGGAAATGAATTTACAGGCCAAATATTAACAATGTTTTCCATCGCGGCCGCAATATAATCGCCTTTAGGTGACCACTTAATATGGCCTATTAACTTTCCTTGCAACTCTGCACCATATGCATCCAATGACTCGTGAAACACCAGCGTTCTTTCCAAATATGTACTTGAATTTGCGCATTTCCAAAGACGTACCGTACCATCAAACGCGCTCGACGCAAGTAAGTGTTTACTGCTGCACCAAGCCAAAGCAATAATTCTATTTTCGTGGCCTTCTAAGTATGTTACGTTTTTTTCTGGATTTGTGGACGTAATGTCGGAAAGATCGACCTGCTCGTAGGTTTTAACCGATAAAATTTGAATTTTTGTTGCGATGCATTTAAATAATTGTTCAGCGGCCCACTGTCTATATTCCGCAAATGTCTTTGATGATAGTAGAAAGGCGGACAAAGCATTTTCCAAAGTTAGTGGACCACAAACGTCAATATCGTCTTTCTGTACCACAGTGAGAGAATAACCACCATGTGCACTTAAAACCTCCACCAATGCTTGCGTTACTTCAAAACCACTTCTTGCAATAGAAGGACACATAGCCATTAATAATAAATCTTTCGTGCACATATCCACAACTAACTTGGAAGAATCAGGGCTATTTTGAGAGAGTGCCGCTATTATTACGCTTAAATTAGTTAGCCAACTACTTGCAACTGATGATGAAGAACCCCAACGTGAAACATTTAGCAGTAACGATGCGGAATTGTTCATTTCCATCTCGCACTCACCATTTGGAATCTCCACACGCTTCATAGCAACCAACGTCATCAAACGTACAATTTTACATATATCTGTCAAACCCATTGCCTCTAGACTTTTAACAAGACCTGTTAAATTCGAAGTCTTTGCTAACTGCGTTAGTATATTCAATACTATCGAACGTGAAAGCAAAATATGCACAGATGTAGTCAAATACTTCAGAGCTTCAACCCTATCTTGAGATGTTTTCAATGAGATTGCTTGACTCCCAAGATAGCGCATTTGATAATCGCATTTCACAAAACATTTGTTGCCAACTGTAGAAACAGCAGACATGCCTAATGGATCATTTTCAAGAAACGAAACAGGGCTCAGATAATCTTTTCCGGGTAATACTAAGGGTAATCCTAGAAAGGATTTTATATTTTCAACCGACGAAAAATCGGGAACTCTGAATTGCATAGTTTGCGAATCAACTTCGCTTGTATCTAAAAGTTTAAACTATTATTTATACCGCTGGTACAATTTCTTACCATCGTGAGCAAAAATTATATCGGGAGCTTGAAGTTGTAAACTCGTTCTAACCACTTCTTTCTCTCTCCCTTCTTTGCAAAAAGGACAATGCGCTACGTGCACTAGAAGTCAGTATAATTATTACGAATAAATTGTTAACATACCTGTCGCGTTACTGGGCGTGGTCTGTTCACGTCTACACTGCCTAAGTTTACAAATTTTATGAGCCATGTCCTACAATGATAAAGACAAATTTGAATTATGCAGTCGATTACTATACTTAATTACTTCAACGCTTGTGGGTTCGGTGTTAGGTTCTTCAATTGAGAGATCTTCAAAAGAAAATGGGGATAAAAGAGGATGCCCTTCACCTCGTACATGCTGCCTTTCCAAACCACGTTCTACTCTCTCAATTCTATCCGTTATATGTCTTAGCAGATCCGAATATGGTCTACGGACCGAACAGACGACCTGGCGACCAAAATAAGAAATCGGTTCTGCATTTTCTTGACTCTGTAAAGCAAAAGTATAATCAAAATCGTACTATGGAATAGTGACTAAAATTATAAGCTTAATCTTCCATGTTTGTGTATTATTTCAAAATATACGATTTTTATGTTGTGAAACAATACCTAAACTTTACTGCAGGCGGGCAGTGTGTGAGAAGGATCTATTACTCATTTTAAGTGTATTATTTGGGGTGTGCTAAAATAAGGTGCCATTTTGTAGCTCTTCAACTTACAAGAAACTTAAAGCAGATGTTTCTACATTTTATCACACAATTTTACATTTTACAATTAAATAAACAATACGCAATTACAAAAATTCTAAAACGAAATAACACTACAGAAAAACAAACTCAAATGAAATAAACTCTGTGTTTATTCGCACCCTCAATTTACTTTAATAAGATTGAAATGTTTCTCATATACAGGGTAGCCCATCATTATTCTCAGTGTTTAGAACAAAGTAACGTCAACACGACGACACAATAATGAATACAAGGTGTTTTCTGTTAATGTTATTATGACGATTTTTGTCTTACTCCGTATGTTTAGTATGTACAATAAAATTTTGTGATCATTATAACTTTTTCTTTAAACATATAGTGATCACTCGGAAAAGAACGGAATACAATTTCATGATTAAACAAATTTTAGTACCTCAGTGAAGTTCAATCATAATTGTAGGACCAAAAGATCTGGTTCCACTCTCACCTACCCAGTTTTGCGGTAGTGTGGATTGTCATAGCAATGAGCTCTTGCGTGTAGAAGGAACGTGCTCCTTTACTCCTTCTTTGTTTCTGTTTTACATTGTGTGGCGCGTAAGCCCAGAAAATGTATACTTACCAGAAGTCGCAGCTCGTCGTAATTCTATGTAAAAGCTGCAACCTTAGACCATATAGTACATACAATGGTCTAAAGCTGCAACTCGCGCAGCTTCGGAGCGCAAATATGGAACAGTGACAGCTGATTTTTATTTACGTTTTTTAATTTGCGATTTTGGTAAATTTAGCGGTTGAAATAGACACACCTAATTCATGTACATAAAAACAATGCAGTGATTAAGTTGAATAGAATTAGTAGTAATGTGTTTTATAACTTGATTTGTACTTGGTAACAAAATCACACCAGTCACATTTTAAATCCTGGCAGATTCAATGTCTTGACACGTCATGTTAGATGTTAAGATGTGCTTTAAGACTGTTTGGTGACAAACGCGCAACTGGGCCCACTTTAAATCCTTGATGATCTTGTAGGTTAATAAATG